TGCTGGTGGCCCTCCCGGGCAGCCACCCCGCCGCGGCCGCCGGGCCCGGTTTTCACTTCTCGCTGCCCCGGTGGCGATGCCTGTTGCTGCCCGTGCCCCGTCCCACGGGGGCAGCGCTTCCAGGGGACCCTGCAGGCTCCCCACACCTCCAGCCACGGAGCCGGGACAGGCCTTTGTTTTCCATGTTGTAGCTGTAAAATGGGGATAAAAGCATCTTCCCACCAGGCTTCATAATTGCTTGTAAATCACTTTAATGCCCTGGGCTGAGAGGTGCTAAGTGCAAATCATGTAATTATTTCAAGCCAAAGCATATTTCATCAAGTTAAAAGAAACTAATCCTATCTCCGCTTCAAAAAACCCCACACTTTTATTGGATAAGAGCCTAATTACCAGCTTCTCCCCGGAGAAAAGAGAAAGCGTACACTGACAGCGGTGCAAGAGGCAAGTTACAAATGCCCAGATCAATTAATGGCAAAGAATGCATCACCTCCAGAGAAAACAGCGGTTATTTACCTCGGATGAACTAGGGGAGCCCTATGCTCGCTGCCCATGCCCCACCAGGCAGTGGGGCTGGCACTGGCCCCATCCTGCTCCGTCACCCCCACTGTGCCAGTGATGGTGGGGACGGGTCTCCCTCCCTCCTCCCCTCTGTGCCAGGGCCAGGCTGTGCAGCAGCACAACCTCCGTGACGGGGTGCGTGTGCCCCCAACGAGCTGCTGGTGCTCCACAATTGCCCAGGCCAAGTTAAATGCCTGCACCCCATCCCAGCTCCCAAGCTTTGGGCAGACAGTTCTCCGGCCCCGAGGCCCCAGCCCAGCCGGGGAGAGCCAGCCGTGAGCGTGGCTGCCTGCACGCCCGGCTGCCTGCACGCCCTCCTGGCTGCAGGCAGGCACCGGTACCCAGCCAGCCCTGCCTGCGTACCTGGCAGCAGGCGTGCGGCAGCCCTGGCCAACTCGTCGCAGACCGGGGCAGCTGCCAGACCTCTTTCTTTCCCGCTGCGCCCATTTATTAGCACAGCCGGTGAGCGTCTCTCAGCCATGCTCAGGAGAGGAAAGAGAGAAATGGTGCTTTGCGTTCTCTGATGGTGCGATGCAGCTCTGCAGGACCCCAGGATGGATGTCCCTGTGCCTCTGGGCAAAGCCCCAGCCTGGGGCAAGGCAGCCTTTTGTTGAACAGGACTTGGCTCTCCCATTCTAGGGGTCCCTTCCAACCCAAAACATTCTATGATTCTATGATTCTATGATGATTGCTGGCCTCATTGGAAACGTGTCGAGGGAATGAGCTGGTGGATGGTGCTGAGCTCCTGCTGGGACAGGCAGTGTAAAACAAGCCCCAGTGTTACTCAAGAGCTGCATGGGGCACAGCCAGGGACAGGCAGCCCTTGCATGCTGCCATCACACTGCTGGAGCAGTTCCAGGTGCTGCTGCATGTACATGTGCAGCAGCAGGCAGGGTTTTGGCAAGGCTGGCCAGATACCAGTGCCCCATCCCCCCCGCTGCCCTCCAGCACTGCCACCACGCCAGCCCCTCGCAGCAGCGGGCCTCCAGCATGCACCCCCCCATGCCTCTAAGGCACCATCTTGTGCCCGTAATTCACGATGAGAGAAAATGTGATACTCCCCAGCCCTGGTCTGCAGGGTGTCATGGCAAGGTGTCTCTCTGGATTTTGTCTCGGTGTCTATGGCCAGCTCTTACAGCCGGGTTGGGGAAGCCGATGCTGTGTGCTCCTGGCTTCTGTCTCAATTCGAAGGGATAAATATAGACCTGCCCCTCGCAATACCCCTTCACTGCAAAACAGATTTTGCAAGCATTAAACACGGCCCTGCCGTGACTGACAAGCACATATTGACGGACACATGCGGCCATCGAAAGCCCTAGCAATTTGCTAATGTTTATTAACAGCTACACGGTCTCCCTGGGGCGGAGAGCCCGCCTTCCCCATGTAGGGCTCTGGCTGGCATTGATGGGGACTCGGGTGCGGGGCAGGATGCTGCGAGGGTGCTGCAAAGGGCACCAGATGCCAGGGGGCTCAGGGTGGGATCTTGTTGCGTTGAGCTCACCCCTCTTAGGAAAGCAAGTTATTTTTTGATCCACTCCTGAACGCTGAAGTCCTGCAGGGTAGGGAGGGAAAGCAGCGTGGTTCCCCGCAGGCAGGCAAAGCTCTTGGTGCAGCCGAGCTCACTCAGCCTTTTTTAGGGGTGCCGTGGGGCTGGGGAGCTGTGCTGGGGAGGGGGCTGTGCCTGTGGGTCCCCGAGAGCCGGGGCGACGTGGCACCCACGATGGGGCTGGTGTTGCTGGGCTCAGCCCCGGGCTCCTGCGGTGCTAACACTCATGTTTCTCTGCGTTTCCCACCCAGGCATGGATGGGAATGTCAGCGCCGGGGGCACAGAGGGCCAGCCCAGGAGCCCCCACCGGACAGCGGTGAGTCTTTTGGGGGTTGCTGGCCACCCTCTGAGAGGCGAGGTGGGGGCTGCTGCCAAGGACCTGCTTCGAGGCTGATAAATATAGCTACTTTGCTTTAGGAAGTGCTGCTTCGCCCCTTAAGCAAAGTGTAAGCGTGTTGCACTGAGAGGGGATGGGGCAGCAGGGGGGCTGGGTGGTTGGTGGTCCTGGGCAGCAAGGGGGGGCTAGGATGGGCCTGGGCATGGGCCACCCTCTGCACACCTGGCTTTCAGCACTGCTGTTGAGAGCTGACTTGGTGCAGGGTGAGGATTGGGGAAAGCCCCCGGCCTCCCTCAGGGCACCCACGACCGTCAGCACAGTGTGATCCTGGTGGGGATGAACCCCAGCTTTGCTTCACCGCCCGGTGCCACCCCAGCTGCCATGGTGGGCAGCAGCCTGGGGCTGTCCCATGTCCGGACAGGTCCCACCGTGGCTGTGCCCCCTCCCTGCCCCAGCATGCTCCTACCCCAGCTCCTGCCGCTCCTCCTGACCCTTGTTCAGATGCAAGGGGCTGCTCTGAGACCATCTCTGGTCCTGGGCTGCAAAGATAAAACACCTGGGAGGTGTTGCAATCCAGACCTAACCTAGCTCCCTAGCTCAGGGACATCCACCGGAGACCAGCAGTGCGGTCATCCCGTCCTGTCCAGCTGCCCCACACAGACCTCCCAGCCCGTGGGGAGAGCCCAAGTCCCCCTCAGCCTTCCCACACTGTCACAGAGCCCCCGTGGCCTCTCCCAGCCAGCAGGATGGGACCCTTCACCGAGAGCTGGATGTGCAGCATGGGGCTGGGACAGGCAGAAAATTTTCCCTCCTTGCAGAAGTCTTCTGCAGGGCAGAGCCATGGGATTCCCCATGTGAGAGCCCGTGGCGGCCCATCCCTGTGCCCCCCCCACAGCTCTAAGCATCAGTAGCAGCGTCTGAGCGAGGGCTCCGCATACAGCCCAGGTGCTGCCCTCACTGCCTCCGAGCTGCAGCTGGCGTGAAACCCAAAGGGCTGTTCCCAAAGCAGCACCACACGTCGGTGCAGAGTCCCCCTGAGCAGTCCCCGCTACTCTGGCAGTCTGAGAAAATGTTTCCAGAACAACTGCTGCTAGCTCTTTTATTCAATGGGGAGGAGAGGGGGAGGAAGGAGAACTCCTCTTCCTCCTCTTCTTCCATCACTTGCTCCTCTGTGGGTGTCCTGACAGCCAGCAGCCCCCACACCTCCTCTCCCATGTCCCTGCTGGAGACTCGTGCTGGGGCTGTTGCTTCCCCACTCCGAAATCCTCTGGTTTCAGCAGCCCTGCATGGTACAGGGCTGTGGCTGTGCAGGAGCTGGCTCAGGAAGGGCTCCAGCCCGGGGTGCGGGACCTGGGCCAAGCATTGCTTTTGCTGTACGGGCTGCTGTGGGCATTTTGCCGGCAGCAGTGCTCGGACACAGGCATGCCTCCAGAAGAGCCCCACCGGGGTTTTAACCGGGTCCTATCGGGGCAATCAGTGGGATGGTGATGGTTTACAGCCCCCTGGGCCTGGGCCAGGCTCTCCAAGGCATGAACTAGGGCTTTGGAGTCGGTACTCTCTCCCTAGCCTTTTGTTTTGCAGTATTTGTGTGCCTGAGCAGTTTAATTTCCCCCGATTTGAAGGTGTTTCCAAGACAGACTTTCTGCCAAGCTGTCAGCCACTTCCCAGCTCCCCCAGGGTGACCCCCAGGGTGTGAATGTCTCACTTGTTGGCCCTGGCTCCAACAGATGTCTGTGGCCATTGGGTTTCCATGGCCCTCAGCGCAGGCACGAAGTGATCATACCGGTGCAGTGGGCACGGCAGCCTCGGGGAGACGTGGCCGGGGTGGGCAAGCGTGGCCTTGACCCAGCCAGGAGCGGCTGAGCCCTGCAGCAGAGTTTGCATTAAAGCTCTGGGAGGTGGTGAACCCATCCAGATCTTGGTATCACCCCTTCTCCCCAGCGCTACCTGCCCCAGCCCTTCCCTGAGCTCAAAGCGAGGTCTGCACCCTCTCCCACCTTGCTGCCTGCTTTTGGAGATGTAGAGCCTGCCCTGGTTTAAGGGGGGTTAGGGACGGCTGCTGTGTCTCATCTCAAACGACTCTTGGCCAGGTGCGGGTACAGAGAGATTTGTGTTCCCGTGTTCCAGGCAAATGAGTTTTCACCACAAAGGCAAAAAGCAAACTCTTGCCGCCTGGGGAGATACTTTTCCCTGGAACTTAGCATAATTAAAAAATAAAAACATGGGGATTTCCCCAAAGACTAAACACTTGCTCACATGCCAAGCAAAACAAACTGGATGACCTCTTAAATAATGCCGCCCGCTGTCATCTGTGGTAGCACAGAAAATGCGCACTTGAGCTCAAAGATGTTGCAGAAGCGTGGGAACAGCCCCGGCCCTGCCAGATCACAGGTTTTCTTTGGTCATGTTCACGCAGGTGGAAAAAGATGAGTTTCTGTAAATGCCAGGACAAGGAGACAGTGCCCGGTGTGACGGCAGTGACATACATGTAATGGAAAAATGGGTGCTGGGATCTAAGCGATCTTAAGTCAGAACAGCCAAAACCGCCTCTCCTTAACTCAAGAGTGATGACGGGAAATGGAAATTTGAAACATTTCCAGCTATTAAGTGCTTTTGCATTTATTTTTGGCCAATGAGATGTTCAGCTTGCGTGTGGGGGTTGTGTTCTGTAACTCATCCAGGAAAATAAGCATGAGGAGCAGGTCCGGATTCCTGACAGAGGGGAGGACAAGACCAAGGCAGAGATGGGGAGCAAAACCTGGGCAGACCTGGCTGGGGATATGAAGATGTTCCTGTGGAACCCAGAGGAGAGAACGTGCCTGGGGAGAACGGCCAAGAGCTGGGGTAGGTCCTTGCTCCTCAAGCCCTGCTTTTGGGGATCGTTGCCTTTTCTGCTTTACAACAGATGCACTTTCCTGTGAGTGTCCTTGATAGCTTGGACTGATCACCCCTGTCCCACATTTTCAGGGTAGATGCTTCTACCCAGTGCAATAAAAAAACAGTGAGGAGGACAAGCAGAAAACCTTGGGGAAGTTACCCTTGGTCTGGACATTAATCTTTACTGAGAAAGTGAAAGCAAAGATTTCGGGCTGTCTGGACTGTGTACGGGGAAGAAATTAAGAGCCTGAGCAAGTGCAGGGGCTGCAGGTCAGTCTGTGGCAGCCACGGACTCCTGCTGCTGCCAGCAACCCCCCGGCTCCTGCCTGTATAAGCCAGGAGCCCATGGGGAGGCGGCCTGGGGGTCACCAGTGTCAGTGGGGGAAGAGCGCCTCAGTCACAAGGCAGGCATTTCGGGGAGGGTGCTCACCTTGGGACCGAGCAGCCCTCCTTGCCTGCATGCGCCCTGGCTCTGGGGTGGAAAGGGCTGGCCATCACCGTCACCCTGCAGCGTCCCGGGGTGTGACACGGTGCCCAAAGCAGAGCCCCCATGTGCTATCGGGGCTGGTGGGCTGGGACGTGCCAGGGAGGGTGCTCAGAACCTGCTCAGAACCTATGGATAAAACCTGTCGATTTTATCCATATCCATATCCATGTGGCCTTCAAAAATTATCGCTGAGCCTGGAGGTGCCCCGGGTGGTTAAGAGCAGCCCACGGCTGTGAGGTGAGCACTGCTGCAGTCTCGGTCCGAGGCCAAGGTGCCACAGCACACACGATGCTGTCCACCTTTGCAGCTCTGTTCTCCTGGCAGCGCATAGTCCCCGCCGGGGAGTGAAAATCCCAACCTCAGCCCAGCGCTGGAAATGCGCTCGCAAGCCCTGCAGCCTGCCCGTGCCCACATCAAGTGCTCTGGGTCTCCTGCAAAGCCTGTGGGGACAGCCAGGAGCAACAAAGGAAACTGCCCACGAGCACCAGAGGAGTCTCTAAACCCCACAAGCACAAGTCTGGGGCAGCCTTTAAATCCACATTTGCTCCCCTGTGCCCTTTGCCAGCCACGGGCCATGGGCTGGATGGGAAGGTGCAGACTGGAGTGCAAGAGCAACATGGGGGTGATAGCCCTTAGGGACGCGAGTCTAGGTTTCTGAAGGCTCTGCCGGGTGCCAAGAAAAGCCCTGTGAGAGGGCTTGCTCAGGCTGGTGTGCATGTGGCCCCGGCTGGCTACTGCTGGACGTTATTTACTTACAGCCTCGGGGAGGACACAGGGTCCTCCTGTTCCCTGGGAGCATCGTGGTGTGCTATACGGCCCTGCTGCCCTATAGACACACATGCCCTGTGGCTGCACACGTGTGTGCTCACATGCCTGTACAGGGGGGCAGGAAAGGGGCATTGAAGCTACTGTGAAAAGCAAATTTTCTTTTAAAATAAGAGCATTTGGAGGTGAATGGAGCTGAACTTTCCTGCTCTCATCTCACGAGTGAGGAGGATGGAGTTTGCCCAGCCTGGGGCTGCTCCCCCATGCTGGCCTTAAAGGTATTCCCCAGGGATGGGGGGGCGCTCAGGGGACTTGCGCTGCCAAAATGCAGGGAGCTGGCTGGCCGCAGGGTCAATGCTGGAGGCCCCAGCCCCTGGGAAAGGCTGCATCCCTGTCTCTGCCGGTGAACAACCATAGCAGCACCTCATCCCAACATGCATCAGCTCGGCACCCCAGCAGCAGCTCCAGCCCCACCAGGCTGGTGCAGAGGCACCGTCCCACCATCCCTGTGGCAGGGCTGGCCTCTGTCCCTGCTGTGCCACCAGCAGCAGTGATGGTCCCATCTGCCCTGGCTCAGCCTGCAGCAGGACACGGCCCTGCAGTGGTTCCCAGCACCGTGGCTCCGGCAGAAGCACGGCAGGAGCACACATCTGTGTTCCCAGGGCTCCCTCCGAGCTGCCGGCATGTTTCTCCTGGGAAATGTTTGGGTTAGGGCTTCACTTTGCTTTCTGAGCTGCTGGGTTTTATTCATAGGCCATGGCCTCTTGAGACATCCTCAGCCATCAGCCTGGTCCAGAGGAAAAACAAACCCATTCCCTGGACGTCAGGGCTACGAAACAGCCAGCGGTGCCACAGCCCCCTGAGCAACGCCACTGACTTCAGTCCCAGTACTGGGGTCCCTGCTGCACAGGCGTCGGGAGGCAGGGCAGGAGCACAGCCCTGCAGCCCCTGTCAGGAATTAGGACATGCTGACGCCGCTGGGTACCCTTGCATATTACCATGCCAAGAGGAGGTAAGAAGGGCAAGAGCCAAGGTCGGGTCTGTCTGTCGGACAGAGCTGAGGCAGGTGGACACACGGACCTGGTCCTGATCCCGCTCTGAGAAGGGCCATGCGGCAAAAGAGGGACAGAGCCAAACGGCAGCTGCCCCAGCCCTGGGGCTGGACAGGCAGTGTGTCCGGCTGAGAGTCCTGCACCCAAAAATGCCATGGTCTGTGTGCGGAGAAAGGCTGTGAGCTCCCATCTGCCCGATTGACTCAGAGCTGAGCATGGCTGTGCATCCCTGTGGGACACAGCCCCCGGGATGTGCTCTGCTTGCCTTAACAGCAACATGCCCTCTCTCTTTTACAGGTTTGATATTACTGTTTTACTTCATCTTCTACACGTGCCTGGCAGGAATGTTTGCCTTTTGCATGTATGTGATGCTGCTCACGCTCAGCCCCTACACGCCCACGTACCGGGACCGCGTGTCTCCGCCAGGTACGTACCCCTGCCACCCCGGCCTCAGGCACCGCTGCTGGCGGTCACCCAGCAAAGTGCTACCAAAATGGCCTGGCAGGGACCCCGGGTAAAGCCCTGCTGGAGCCGCACGCTCCTTGTAACATGGGGTTAACAGCTTACCTTAGGGCACTGGCAGCGCTGCAGGGTCTCTGCAGAGGATCAGGCATCTTAAATAGCCCCAGATGAAGCATTCGTTCTAATTATACTAATTGTTATTTTATTTATGCTAATTATTAGGCTAATTATTCTCAAGGTAAATGGGCGCATTTAGGCTTTTTATAGGTGTTGTGGTTTAGCCGCAGCTGGCAACTAAGCACCACAGAGCCTCTGGCTGACAACAAGAGAGAGAGAGAAACAAAACCCAGGAAAAAAACCCGAGTGATGCTCACCACCCACCAATCGATGCCCAGCCTGTCCCCGAAGAGCGATCACTCTCCCCAGCCAACTCCCCCCAGTTTCTATACTGGGCATGATGCTGTATGGTATGGAATAGCCCTTGGGCCAGCTGGTGTCAGCTGCCCTGGCTGTGCCCCCTCCCAGCAACTTGTGCCCCTGGCAGAGCAGGGGAAGCTGAGAAGTCCTCGACTGGTGCAAGCCCTGCTTAGCAACAACTGAACCATCAGTGGGTTATCAACATTATTCTAGTACTAAATCCAAAATACAGTGCTATGCCAGCTACTAGGAAGAAAATCAACTCTATCCCAGCCGACACCAGGACAGTAGGTGATGCTCATTCATTTCAGTTGTTGTCCCTCATATCTTCAAAATAAAATGCAAATCAAGAGCAGCTTTTATGCATTATTATCTGGGGGAGTCCTGGCAAGATAATGTATAAAACCTCCTTTCCCTAGGACAGAAGCAGCATTTTCCCCATGTTTTCACGTTGGTGGGGAACATGAGGGCCCCCTTGCCCTGCTCCCTGCCCAGAGCTGGCTGCATGGCTGGGAGCATGGGGGACCCCTCAGCCTCTGTGTGGAGCCCCAAGCCCATCCCTTCCCTGCAGCACTGCTGAGACCCTCCAGGTCTCCCATGTTTCCGGGGATATTTTGATGTGCATTGGTGTTCTCTGGGTGTGAAATGGAACTGAGGGATCAGTGGGCTGAGGAGTGAGTTTATCTGTGAGCCGGTGCTGCTGCTCTCATGCCTGTGCCCAGCCCCAAGTCCAGTCGCAGTGCGCCCAGCCCCTGCAACACGTGCCCCGAGCCTGAGGCCGGTCCACCCATGTCTGCTCTAACAGGGTCCGTTTCCTTCTCCAGGAGTGATGATCAGACCGTACTTGAATGGGTTCACTATTGCCTTCAATGCCTCTCAGCCCAGCACGTGGCAACCCTACGTGGACAGCATGCACCACTTCCTAGCAGGTAAGCTCTGAGGCACCCCAGGAGTCACGGCGGCAAGTTGTTTGCATCCATGCACACACACACGCAGAGTCCGGGGGTCTCCTCCTGGGGTGCAGATCAGCTCCTGCCATCTCACAATCCCTATCTAGAAAGGGAGCCCCATAAGGTGGTCACGGGGGCTTCCGTGGGAGGGAGCCTTGCCTTTCCACATGGGACTTTAACTCCCTTGACATGTGGATACACTCTGAGAGCATGGGAGTGTGGGTCTGTGCAGGTCTCAAGAAATGTTAACGAGTCTCTTGGTCCCCACCAGCTTATGATGACAAAGTTCAAGAGGAGAAGAATATTGAGTGTGTCTCAGGACAGTACTTCATCCAAGGGGGCAATGAAAGCGAGGAGAAGAAGGCCTGCCAGTTCAAGCGCTCACTGCTGCAGAACTGCTCTGGCATTGAGGACCCAAC